TTCCTTCCACTCTTGGTAAAAGAATATAAATGAGAACAAGAAAAAGAAGCCAGGCGCCGGTGGCTCATTCCTATCATCCTAGCTACTTAGGAGACTGAGATCTGAGGATCGGGGTTTGAAGTCCAGGCAGGAAGTCCATGAGACTCTCATTGCCAGTTAATCACAGAAAAAGCTGGAAGTGTCACTATGGCTCAAGTGGTAGAGTGCTAGCAAAAAGTAACTCAGGGACAGTACAGCACCCAGGCCCAGAGTGAAAGCCTGGGACCAGCGAGAGAGAGAGAGAGAGAGAGAGAGAGAGAGAGAGAGAGAGAGAGAGAGCGCAAAACCAGAAAGCCCACATGTGGCAACCCTGTCCCACAAGTACCGCAGGGCCTTGTTCTGTCTTGGCTCTTGCTGATGGTGGCTTTAAAGGTGACCTGCGATGCGTGCGCGGCCTGCAGAGTTTTGGCCACCATGTGTGCGATGGATGCCCCTGGCTGTGTGCCACGGGGGTACAGCCGCGCGGGGTGCGGTGTGGGGGCGACGCGGGGGTACAGCCGCGCGGGGTGCAGTGTGGGGGCGACGCGCCCTCCCTCCCCGTCCCTGCCGCAGGTGCCCGTGTGCCCATGCTCCTTGAGCTGGGGCCGGCCCAGCCCCCACGCCGCACTTTGCGGCTGCAGGTTGCCTGGGGTCTGGCTTCCGGCTGCGGCTGCGATGATTCCCGGAGCTGACTCAGAGCAGGGGCAGAGGGCGAGGTGATTTCAGAACCCTTCAGCTTCTCACTCGGTGTCCAGCCCCCCTCCCCCGGCCCGGGCAAGTCGCAGGCCTCTGTCACCGAGCTGGGGTTCTGGGGACACCCAGGCCGCCAGGCGGGGTGGCAGCTCCCGGGACAGCCACAGCGCCAACTTCTGCCTTGAGTTCTGGGCAGTGAGCTCCAGCCAGAAGGGTAATTTGCTTTCTTTGAACCTCTGCGGAAGGCAGAGAGGAACAAAGGCGGCCAGGCTCTTCCGAGAAAGCCCCGAATCTGTCACCTGGAGCGCCGTGTTTTATTGCCTTGGCCTGGGCAGTGGGCAGCGCTCACCCGGCCTCTCGGAGGGCCCCGCTGGCCGCTGCGCATCTCCCCGCTGCCCACGGGGTCATTAGATCGGAGGCTGAGAGGCAGGGAGGATTCTCTTCCCTTTCTCAATACGTTTTTGCCCCTGACTCCAGCTTGCTACCCCCACGGGCCTGGAGGTGGGCCGGGAGCTGAGTGGCTCCCAGGGTGGCTTGTTTGGTACGGAGGTAGCAGGATGTTGTAACAAAGAAAGCAGTGATGATAGCAATACGGCCCAGGTGGCCACACGTGCAATCTTGAGACCTCTTGGGGATCCCCCCCCATCTTTTTGAGGCAAGATTTTGCTGTCTGTAACCCTGGCTGTTCTCAACATGATGAGCCCCCCCCCCCCCCCCAGTGCTGGGATTACAGGTTCAAGCACCATGCTCGGCTCTGGTCTGTGGGGATGGCCAAGGTGGGTGCATTGCTAACCAGCTGGCGTGTTTGCTGCTGGTCCTGGGGCCGCAATTGGAGTTAAAGTTCCTTGGAAGCTGCGGAGGGAGGCCTGAGCCTTGGAGGTCTGGCAATTCAGTGAAAGCCCCCACCCTACCAACAAGGATGACAACATGTGAACCTCACATTCTCCGTCTTGTATTATGAAAACCAGGGCGTCCCGAGGGCAGGTGACTTGCCCAAGGCCACTCTCTGGGCTGGGAGTCGGCCCTGCCTGGCTCTCTGGGCCAGTGCCGCCTTGGAAGGGATGCAGGTGGGGAAGCCTTTTAGTAGTGAGCAGCGTCCCCGCTCCAAAAGCCACAGAAGGCTTTTGCAGGCGCCAGGTCACATGACCAGAGCCCAGTCAGCCAGGCCTGCTGGCCTGAGGCTGCAGGCCCTGTGTCTCGACCAGGTCCACAGCAGGGGCCTGGCGGCCTGCCCTGCCCGCTCGCTCGGGGAGTGTTGGGGAGATGCTCTAGGCTCCAGGGAGACCAGCATGGGGCCTGCTGGAAACGTCCCTCAGAGAAGCTGCCCACCAGCTAGGTAAATTCCCGTGTGGGCTGGCCTGAGCCAAGGAAATGCAGGAGTTCTCATCTGATGCTTCCCTTGCTTAAAGACCGGTTTCAGCTGGCCACCGGTGGTTCACACCTGTAATCCTAGTTACTCTGGAGGCTGAGATCTGAGGATTATGGTTCAAAGCCAGCTCTGGCAGGAAAGTCCTTGAGACTCTCATCCCCAATAAACTACTCAGAAAAGGCCGGAAGTGGTGCTGTGGTTCAAGTGGGAGAGCACCAGCCTTGAGCACAAAGAGGCTTAGGGACAGCTCCTGGCCCTAAGTTCAAGCTCTCGGACCAGCAGAAAAGAAAAAGAAAAAAAGATTGGTTTCACCTGGCAACTGCACACAGTTTTCCTGAATTGGGGACCGGGCTTGGGGAGGGGGAGGGGCTTCGGTTCCCCACCTGGTTAAGCCATTTCTGTTTCCGCCTGGGAAGAGTCTGACAGACACACACTGGGTCCTGAGAACGTGGAGCTCCCTGGAATGGCAGAGCTGGGCATCAGCTGGGGCTCGGGACCCTCAGGCCACCCTGGGCTGGTATTTCTCCACCCGGGATGGAGGGAGGGTTTATGATAGGCTCTGAAGAGCCCAGCAGGTGTTTGATGCCTACCTACTTGGGAGAAAGGTGATTTGTAGGGGTGGGGTGAGGACCAGGGAGGTTCAGGTCCAACCTTTGCTCACAGGTTCCAGGTAATTGGATGCCAGGGCTGCCAGAGCATGGGGTGGGGGGAGGGAGAGGTGTGTTAGATGTCAGTTTGTTTGCATTTTCCCATTTGTTATGATGGACTGAGAATCTTAGAGATAAGGAGACTATTATAAAAGGACATCCAGTTCAAGACCAGGCATAAGTCTGGATTCTTACGGTTGTAATTGGCCAAAATCTTTGTAAAGAACGTTGATTGTGTTTATGTACTTCAGGTGTAGCTAGACCCAGGTGCTGAGAGAGGCGGTCTTTTGTCTCCATTCATTTCTGGGCTAAGTGTCCCTCTGTGCCTGCACCATTCTCCTCGTGGAGAGGGACTCCTAGCTGCTCCAGTAAGAACTCTCCCCTTCTGCTTTCTGGATGAGCCATGTCAGTGTAGAGAAAGCCCTCTTTTGTTCCAGTGTTTTTAGCGGGAAGGTTCCGGCATGGTTAGATACAGGCAGGAGTCGGCAGTCCCTTCAGATTGGCCAAGCCTGGCTTCTGGTCCCACCTAGAAGCAGAGGTGATGTCGGCCCACCCAGTGGGCTGAGACTCCAAGGCCAGTAGATTTAGGCTGTCCCAAGATCGAGTGCCACTCGGATCCACTGCTAGGCCGGGCTGGCCTCCCCCGGCTGGTGAGAATTCACCTCAGGGAGAAAGCTTCCGCCCTTCTTTGCATCATTCTGTGGTTGTGCTGTAAATATGTGAACTCCTTCCTTCCCTTTGGCCCTCTACCCTTAGTATAGTCCCAGACCGTCGGATTCAGATTCAAGCTCATAGACGGTTGCTACTTCCACTGTCGTACCCCAAGGCAGACGTCACTGATGCATCCCAGCTCCACAGAGCATGAGGGAAGCTTCAGTAACATGGGGACCTTGGCTTGTTCACTGCTGTGTCCCTGTACATAGTAGGTGCTCATATAACAACAATTGGCTGTTTGTACCCTATGCCTTGCACCAGTGGGGATCTTTTGTAGCCAGGGCCTGTCTGACTTGGGAGCTGGGGCCACACCTGTGTTTTGAGTCGGGTAGGGACCGCAGGGCAGGGCAGCTGGGAGGGGGCGAGGGAGGGGGGGTATAGTGGGGAGCACCTCCCCCTATCCTGGTCACTGCTAATCCCACTTTCACTGCTCATTGAGATGTAAGATCTCCCCATAAGAAATCATTTCCTGGTTTTCTAAGGGGGGTGGGTTATATTCCAGGAAACTGGGAGGGCCTTCCTGCCCCTGGATAAGAGGCTCTGCCGGTGGTCTGAGACACGGGTACCCTGCCTCCATTCGCTTGTTTCCCAAACCACGTTCCAAAGTACCAGAGACTCCTATTAAAAACCCTCACAGGGCCTTAGGCTGAGCAAGGTGGTGTAGTCCTTGCAGGCAATGGGTAGAATTTACCTTGGGCTTTACCCTTAGCCCTGCAGAAAGTGAATGAATTAAAATACACGAAATAAACCATAGCAGGGCCCATAAAATGGCCCTGGAGTCGTTCCCCCAGGAAGATGGCTGGCCCCAGCAAAGGGAAGCTGGTGGGCTTGGCGTGATGATGCTAGCTAGCCTTCACGCAGCCCGGCATCAGGGGCTCACGCCTGCAATCCTAGCTACGCAGGAAGCTGAGAGCTGAGGACTGTGGCTCAAAGTCAGGGTGGGAGAGTTGGAGAGACTCATCTCCAGTAACAGCTAAAAAGCCAGAAGTAGAGCTGTGGCTCAAGTGGTAGAGTGCTACCAGGGACAGTGCCCAGGCCCTGAGTTAAAGTCCCAAGCCCAGTACACACACACACACACACACACACACACACACACACACACACACACACACACACATACATGACAATGCAGTAATTGATGGGTGTCACATTCTCAAAATCTGGGGGGCCTCTCAGAGCCTTGCCATCCCCCCTGCTGTGACCTTTGATGTGTTTGTGCGGAATACCCAACCAGTCACAGGCTTGCTGAGAGCCTGTGGTGTGGTGGGGTTGGGGGTCTGGAGGCCTTCCAGGGGGCGTTACTGTTTGCATGCCCCTCTGAGCCCAGCAGGCCACCTGCAGACCGCTCAAGAGCATGCTGAACAGGGTGTGTGTGCACACGGGCTGCGGGCCCAGCAGCCCTGGGTACATCCCTGCACCTGCCTTTCTGCTCCCAGGCCCTGTTGGGTAGAGACAGGCATCCCCCTGCACGTGATGCTGCTGTCACCCCTGGGCAGAAGACGGCTGGCCCGGGTGCAAATAGGCCCTGTCTGACCACTTGTCCTCTCTCTTGGCCGCAGGTCCAGAGCCAGAAACACAGCGCCTTCTGAGGATCCTTTAAAACGTGAGTAGCTTTGATTCCCCCTCCTTTCTCCGGGGGGTGGCGTTGGCCATCGAGAGCAGGGAGCTCATTCTGGGCACCTCCATCCCTGCAGTAGGCCTCTGGCTTGGTCCCCCGTGTGCTCACCTTCGTGCAGGGATGGCACAGGAGTGGGAACCTTGCGGAGTCGGCTCATGATGGCACCACACCAAGGGGTGACCCGGGCTCCCTCGGCAGACAGGCTGCTCTGGGGACTGGGGCTTTCGTCACAAATCATCTTGATTATATTGAACATTTATTATTATTTACCATCTGCAGTACTGGGGATGGAACCCGGTGGTCTTAATATTGAGCTATATTCCCAACCCCACTAAGCTTTGTTTTTATTAAAACGAAACAGAATAAAACATGTTGTGCCGGACACTGGTGGCTCACACCTGTAACTCTAGCTACTCAGGAGGCTGAGATCTAAAGATCCCAGTTTAAAGCCAGCCAGGGCAGAAAAGTCCACGAGATTTTTACCTCAAATAAATTACCAGAAAGCTGGAAGTAGAGCAGTAGTTCAAGTGCTAAAGCGCTAGCCTTGAGTGTAAAAGCTCAGGGATGGTGCCCAGGCCTGAGTTCATGCCCCAGTATGGACACACACGCGCACACACGCGCGCACACACACACACACACGCACACGCACACGCACACGCACACACACACGCACACACACGCACACACGCACACACGCATGCACACACACGCGCACACACACGTGCGCGCACACACGCGCACACACGCGCGCACACAGTTGAAAACTCGGTGAAATTGTGAGAATGCTATAGTGACCTTGATATACCCTTCATCCAGATTTTCCTATTGTTTCTGGGTTCGTCTCCTCCTTGCTACGTGTTGTTCCACCAATCAGCACGTGAGTGTTCTCTTCTGCTGATTCATTGGGACTTCCCTTTACCCCAGTCCTTCAGCTATTTTGTAAGACCCAGGCCATTGTCTTACATAAGCACAGCACAATTAAGAACTCGGGACGTTTAACATTGACACAGTTCTCTTATCTAATCTATAAGCCTTAAAAAGACATTCTGCTGATTGTCTATGTGTTTACTGCTGGCAGGCTTGCTTTCCTTGGAGTCGGGATCACAAGGGTATCTTTCAGGGGGGCTGAAGGAAGGAGTGTCTTCCTCTGGCTGGTTTAGTTGATTTAAAACTTCACTAGCTTTCAAAGTCCTTTAGTCCTGGCATTCAGCAAGAACTACTGCTTCCTGCAGATCCTGAAGCCCGGGCTTCTCCAGCCCAGGCTTGGAGTGGAGGAGCTCTCCTCTCCAGGCCCTCACTAAACAATAGCCTTTATGCTAATCCCTCACCCACCTGTGGATCACCCACCTGTGGACTGCGCCCAGCTCTGCACAGATGCTCCTTTCCTTTCTGCTGCTTTGTGACTATCATTTTGTTTTGATGAAACCCAGGCCTTGGCCTGGCCAGGCTCGTGACCCACCACTGAATTGCACCTCCAGCCCCTGAGCACACACCTGTAAGGGGGTCAGTTATGTTCCTGCCAACCCAGGGCTGGAGTGCGGTTGATGTGGGGTTCACCTTTGAAGAGAGACTAAAAAACACTGGTTTGTGGGTCCCCTTGTCTGCTGCTGCCACCTGTTGCTGGGCCTGAGTATGCCCTTGTCGGAAGGGGGCAGCCCTACCCAGCCCCCCTCCTTCCCTCCCCCCCCCCCCCCCCCCGTGCCGAACACTTCCCAGCACTGCCCGGTGGATGGATGGGCATGTGTGGAGGGAGAGGATAGCATGGTCTTAATTGTTCAGCAGCAGAAGTAACCACCCCTGGCCGCTGGTGGACTGGAGCAACTCCCCCCCCCCCCTTTGGGCACTTCCTTCCCCATCAGCCTTCTCCGCTGCATTCTTATTGTGTAGGGGAAAGTGACAGGAGAAGGGCAGGGTCAGCTACCAGAGCAGACCCACAGAGGCCAGCGCGGACACGATGGCCCCAGTACAGAGGGGGAAACTGAGGCTCGGAGATGACTTTAGTTATTAGGCCGCCTCTCCACTGGGTGGACTCCAAGCCCAGCCCCTCCCTCCCCCAGCACTTCTTGCTGGTTAATGAGTAACAGGGGCCCTGGGAGACCGGGAGGACCTTCTGCTCCAAAGCTGGAATGCGGCTCGGCCTCCAGATAAAGAGTTGTGCAAGGGCGGGCCCTCTGCCTGGCAGTTTTATAGGTCACGAGCAGATAGAGGCCAGCACTCTGCCTCCTTTTTGGGAAGCCCGTTTTGCGGGAGAGGCTGAGAGATGATTTTTTAGCTGGATTTGCTCTTAGACATGGGATGCTCCAGGCAGCCTTCCTAGCTTGCTCTTCTAGAAAGACAGCCTGGGCCACCCACTGTGGGCTGTGGGGAGGAGGCACGGTCCAGAGCTGCTGCTGGTCCGCTCCTCCGGCCGGCCCTCCTGAGGTTACCTCCCAGGCCTTGGGGTCCCCTTTTCAAGAAAAGGAGCAATGAGGTCTGGTGCGTGTCTGCGTTGTTCAGGAGCCTGCCCTGCTCATGAGAGCTAAGAAAGCATTTGCTGAGACCGCCCACATGTTGCAGCTCGCTGAGCTGGGGAGCTCTGGGCCCAAACCCTAGCTCCAGGGCTGGGGGGTGTGACTCAGTGGTGCAGGCCCTCGCTGGAGCCCGTGACCACTCTGTGACTGCAGCAGACTCAGTAAACCTCTCTGAGCCTCAGCTTCCCTTACCTGAAAGACGGGACACCGAGGAGGGCTGGAGGGACAGGGGACATAAATGGGGGTGACTCGAACCAGCTCCATGCACCCTATGTAGTTTCTCCTCCAGTTCTCCAAGGAAAGATTCTTCACAGCAAGCCCGGCCCCCCTCAGCTAGAGTCCAAGGACCAGGGCCCCCCTGAGCGGGGGTGATTTAAGGGATTGTCCCACTGGGTTAGGGCTCTGGGCTGTTCCAGGCCCTCCCCGACCTGCCTCGCCTCTGCTGTAAACTCTGGTCTATTACCTCACCAGGCCTGGAACTCCTAGTGTCTTCGGAAAGTGCCACTCCAGCACGCATGCGTGCACACCCTCACCCCCCCAACCCCACCATACACTTCAAGAGAGCCAACGACACAGGATTTTTTTTTTCTTTTTTTTATTGTAAAGATACTATACAGAGGGTTACAGTTACATGAGTGAGGTAATGAGTACACTTCCTCTTGAACATTGTTACCCCCTCCATTGTTTTCCCCCTACCATCCCCTCCCTCCCTCCCTTCCCCGAGGTAGGATTTCTTATTTCTTATGCATGTTCAGTAGGAAAGCCAAACTCTTCCAGCACAGAAAACTTACTATTGAAAAACTGAAAGAAGAAAACCAAACCTTGTTCTCTCTATCCAGAGATACAATGTGATCTGACAGTCAGAGAATGTGTGCGTAGATATAAGTGCCAGCTGGGCAAGGTGGCTTGTACCTGTAGTTCCAGCCACTCTGGAGGCGCTAAGCATTCAAGGCCAGCCAGGGCAAAGACAATGAGATCTTCCCTCAAAACCAAAATGCAAACAAAGCGCTGGGATTGGCCCAGGATTCAGATTGCCATACTGGTGTCATGGCCAGCCTGTTTGGGTAAAGCATTAAGTAGTAGTAGTCATCATAGTATTAAGTTTTTGTTTGCTTTTTAATCGGTCATGGGGCTTGAACTCAGGGCCTGGGTGTTGTCCCTGGGCTTTTGCACTCAAGGTTAGTGCTCTACCACTTCCAGACACAGCTCAAAGTTTTCCGGTTTATTGGAGGTAAGAGTCTCACAGACTTTTCTGCCCAGGTCGGCCTCAAACCATGATCCTCAGATCTCAGCCATCCTAGTAGCAAGGATTTACAGGTGTGAACCACCAGTGCCCAACCACACTATTTTTTCTTGTTGTTGTTGGTTGTGGGTCTGAACTCTGGGCCTGGGTGCTGTCTCTCAGCTCTTCAGCTCAAGGCTAATGCTCTACCACTTGAGCCACAGCACCACTTCCAGCTTTTTCTGCTTATGTGGTGGTGAGGAATCGAACCCAGGGCCTCATGTATGCAAGGCAAGCACTCTACCACTGAGCCACCTTCCCAGCCCACTATGTTTTTTTTTAAGATTTTTTTTTTTTTTTTTTTTTTTTTTGTCGGTCATGGGGCTTGAACTCTGGGCCTGGGCACTGTCCCTCAACTCTTCAGCTCAAGGCAAGCGCTCTACCACTTGAGCCACAGCGCCATTTCCGGTTCACGGACTTTTCTGCCCGGGCTGGCTTTGAACCGTGATCCTCGGATCTCAGCCTCCTGAGTAGCTAGAATGACAGGGGTGAGCCACCAGCGCCTGGCTTAAGATGTTTTTATAAGCATACGTTAGGTGCACCCAGGGAAGTTTCGTTGTGATATTTCCGCACAGCACCCTCAACCCCTCTCCGTCTCCCTCTGCCCTCTGTATCCTGTGTGCTCCTGCCCGTCTCTGCCTGGGTCCACACGTCATACCTTCATCTCTTGCCTTGGGGGTGTTGAGCACCCGTTGTAGACCAGGAGCAGGGACACAGCAGAAGCCCCCCGACCATCAGCCCCCGAGGCAGGGGCCTGGCCACGGGAGAAGCTAGACCTCCTGAGCCTGTTGCCTCCATTTTCCTGTGCATTTCCAGAGGTAAATGGCTCAGAGGTAGTGCTTGCTGCCCAGTGCTGCCATCCCCGGCTCGCACACAAAGTAAAGGCTTGCAAGGTTTGAGAGAGGTGGAGCCACCTGCCGGAGGTCACACAGCACCGGGGACCTTGGGCCTCCGCCCCCCCGCCCCCCCCCCCCCCAGCACTCTCCTGTGTGCGCGCATCTGTCATCTGGCAAAGTCATTGCCCAAGTTTTCCTCTGACCGCGGGACCGTGTGGTGCCCACTAGGTTAGCAGGCGTGGGAAGGAGAAAAGCCTGGTCCCTGGTTGTTGTCAGTGTGACGTACTAGTAACTACCAGGAGCGACTTAGTCACAGGTCAGTGACATCGCCAGGGAGTGGCCTGGGCCCTGAAGCCC